GAAGAAGACTGCTCTAACAATGAAGAAGGCTGCTCTAACATTGAAGAAGACTTGCTCTAACAATGACGAAGACTGCTCTAACAATGAAGAAGACTGCTCTAACAATGAAGAAGACTGCTCTAACAATGAAGAAGGCTGCTCTAACATTGAAGAAGACTGCTCTAACAATGACGAAGACTGCTCTAACAATGAAGAAGACTGCTCTAACAATGAAGAAGACTGCTCTAACAATGAAGAAGACTGCTCTAATAATGAAGAAGACTGCTCTAACAATGAAGAAGACTGCTCTAACAATGAAGGAGACTGCTCTAACAATGAAGAAGGCTGCTCTAACAATGAAGAAGACTGCTCTAACAATGAAGAAGACTGCTCTAGCAATGAAGAAGACTGCTCTAACATTGAAGAAGACTGCTCTAGCAATGAAGAACACTGCTCTAACAATGAAGAAGACTGCTCTAACAATGAAGAAGACTGCTCTAACAATGAAGAAGACTGCTCTAACAATGAAGAAGACTGCTCTAACAATGAAGAAGACTGCTCTAACAATGAAGAAGACTGCTCTAACAATGAAGAAGACTGCTCTAACAATGAAGAAGACTGCTCTAACAATGAAGAAGACTGCTCTAACAATGAAGAAGACTGCTCTAACAATGACGAAGACTGCTCTAACAATGAAGAAGACTGCTCTAACAATGAAGAAGACTGCTCTAACAATGAAGAAGACTGCTCTAACAATGACGAAGACTGCTCTAACAATGAAGAAGACTGCTCAAACAATGAAGAAGACTGCTCTAACAATGAAGAAGACTGCTCTAACAATGAAGAAGACTGCTCTAACAATGAAGAAGACTGCTCTAACAATGAAGAAGACTGCTCTAACAATGAAGAAGACTGCTCTAACAATGAAGAAGACTGCTCTAACAATGAAGAAGACTGCTCTAACAATGAAGAAGACTGCTCTAACAATGAAGAAGACTGCTCTAACAATGAAGAAGACTGCTCTAACAGTGAAGAAGACTGCTCTAACAATGAAGAAGACTGCTCTAACAATGAAGAAGACTGCTCTAACAATTGCGAAGATTGCTCTAACAATGAAGAACACTGCTCTAACAATGAAGAAGACTGCTCTAACAATGAAGAAGACTGCTCTAACAATGAAGAAGACTGCTCTAACAATGAAGAAGACTGCTGTAACAATGAAGAAGACTGCTCTAACAATGAAGAAGACTGCTCTAACAATGAAGAAGACTGCTCTAACAATGAAGAAGACCTCTCTAACAATGAAGAAGACTGCTCTAACAATGAAGAAGACTGCTCTAACAATGAAGAAGACTGCTCTAACAATGAAGAAGACTGCTCTAACAATGAAGAAGACTGCTCTAACAATGAAGAAGACTGCTCTAACAAAATAAAGAAGACTGCTCTAACAATGAAGAAGACTGCCCTAACAATGAAGAAGACCTCTCTAACAATGAAGAAGACTGCTCTAACAATGAAGAAGACTGCTCTAACAATGAAGAAGACTGCTCTAACAATGAAGAAGACTGCTCTAACAATGAAGAAGACTGCTCTAACAATGAAGAAGACTGCTCTAACAAAATAAAGAAGACTGCTCTAACAATGAAGAAGACTGCTCCAGCGGAAGGTGTGAACTTGGACCGCGTGGTTGTCCATGGCTGTGACAAGCCGGCACAACGCCAAAAAGCAAAGTCACATCCCACCGCAACTCAATTTGCTCAACAACAAACAAAACAGTTTAACACGTCGGAGGATTTCGAGACCAATACCATCCATAATAGAGTTTGCTGGGGGGTTATATCACGTAAGTATATAAATGTGTCGTTGAAACCCGCCACCACCCGACAGCCAACGAGTAAGGGTTGTCACGTAAACAGAACGTGGCCAATTCGTTACGAGTACAGCACACCGGTGTGTTGAAGAGCCAAGCCACAACATTTACAATCTGAGTACGACGTTTCGCTACTAACTACAACTAGCTTCATCAGGCGACAGCCAGATTTGTGGAGAAGTCCACCTGTTTCGCTCCTTACATAGAGGCGTAGATGTGGTAACCTGGTTAGTGCTTGGATGGTAAACGACGAGAGCAAACCGGATTCTCGAGGTTTGTGGGGCAAAAGGGTGGCCAGGAGATGGCAGTACAGCAAGTATGCCGTTCCGGCCTTCATCGGTGCTTTCTGACAGCACTTGCCCCAGCAGGCGAGACGGGGCATATTTTGTCTCTGTTTTTGGGGAGCGGTAGTGTAGCGGTGAGCGCGACGCGAACAACGGGCACACGCGCCACGACGCGACGCTGTAACTCCGAGGGCACGTTGCTTCTCATGCTCCCGCACGCATATTGCTCTGGTTAACACAGCGTAACCTCATTATTTTCTATCATGAATATATTTCATTGCATATCTTACCCACCCTCCCCCCCCCATAAAAGGCATGCAGATCTAGGGGCATAATTGATCTAAGCTGATTCCAGGTTACCTGATCAGGTTAAACAAATGGTGTCCTCGAATACATTGATCCGAAAGTTATTTTCGATGCTGGCTCTTACAGTTTTTTTTAATTGGCAATTAAATATACGCTCTTTATTAATGTATTTAGCTACTTGCTTGCTGTCTGGTCTGAAGCCCCATGGGTTGCTGGGAGCGGGACCTCCAAGCTGCTGGATAATATTCAGAGTGCGCCTGGATTTTTGGTGTCACGTGTGACCATATCACCCGGAATACACCTTCACTGACCCACACTGATCAGCGTGATGAAGTATGGTCGGTATGACCTCTAGTGGAGATGCTCATCCAGCAGTGGCTTGACAAAAGGGATATATATATTTTGGTGTCACCATACACGTGGCTCTGGCTGTCGTGATTATTATTTATGATTAATATTATCGATAATACAGGCTGTTTCGGGATAGATTGCGTAAATCTATAAATGTGTCGTTAAACCCGCCACCACCGACACAGCCAATTAGCCATGTTTGTAACATAAACAAAACAAAGCTTATATGTTAAACATGATTAATAGTATTGCGCCCGTTCACCCAGGAAAGCATAATCGATTCTCACGTCTCTTTTTTTCAGGATAGTCCAGCTGGGTGCGATCCCAAATTGAACCATGTGCAGGTTATGTGTGCGGCATTGGGATATTTTTAACAATACCAGTTAAATCGCCATGGGGGGGGGGGGGGTTTGTTCATCTATGGGAAGAAATCGGAGAACCCGGAGAAAACCCATGCAGAAGAGAGGGAGAGCATTCACACTCCACACAGAAAGGTGCCCGCAGTCGGGGATCGAACCCCAGGGCCCCCTTCTTGCTGTGAGGCACGGACGTTACCACTGCGCTACTGTCCCATAAAACCTGCGGTTGGCATGAAGTCCTGGTGGGTCCCTCTGCTTTGGACGGCACCTAGGCCCCTCCGGTCCTTGTTGCTGCCGTTGCAGTTGCACCGCCTGCACACTCGACGGCAGTGCCAACTGCCATCAAAAGACTTCAGACCAATTCGAAGGTGCTGGCTCTTGCCGACTTACCGTCCGGCAATTTGAATTGCGTGGGAATCAAATGAAACATAACACGCGTGGGGTTTAAACCGATGTAATTCGGATGAGAGTTGTACTTGGCAAAGGTACGGCGGGAGGCTTGTGGGTGAGTCATTACCGTGCGTGATGTAATGCGCGGGTGGCTGTGAACATTTACTATTGGCCGGGAGAAAAATAACTGCGGTGATATCACCGTGTATTGCTTTGTCAAGTGGGACCTGTTAAGCCACGAAATCTTTATGGTCTCTAAGTGCGCCTGCTTCATTGGCCAAACACAGCCCATTTCCCGCGATACCTATAATAATACTTCTAGATCTTCTTTGGTTCTTTCGGTAAAGTCACGTAGAATGAGAATAAAATAATAAATTGATAAAATAAAATAACACAATAATATTCTCACGACGTTTCGGCCACAACACAAGCGGCCTTCATCAGGTGAAGGGACGAGACTGTCTGGTAGGACAGCGCTGGAGTGAAAGAGCCACGTTCAGATCACGGCCTTTAAGCTGTGTGAGAGGAACAAAGCGCCTTGACAAAGGAATTAGCATATAATTTAGCATTGAAATGGCTGAATGATTAGCTTGTGACTGGTCACAGAAATAGTTATGTTAAAAGTTAAAGCATACACATCCGCAGAGGCACCCCTTGACAATGGAATTAGCATAGAATTTAGCATTGAAATAGCTAAGTTAAAGCATACACATCCGCAGAGGCACCCCTTGACAATGGAATTAGCATAGAATTTAGCATTGAAATAGCTGAGTGATTAGCTTGTAACTGCTCACAGAAATAGCTACGTTAAAGTCAGACCATACACATTCACCGAGGCACTTAGTACAAATCAAACAGGAGAATTTAGCATTGAAATAACTAGGCGAATTTACCATTGAAATAACTGAGTGATTAGCTAGTGACTGGTCACAGAAATGACTATGTTGAAGTCAAGGCCTACACATCTGAGCTATTCACAGTACTATATAGTGAACCAATAAAAACTAAAATATAAATTACCTTCATGTTATCAGTCACAAGCTAATCATTCAGCCATTTCAATGCTAAATTATATGCTAATTCCTTTGTCAAGGCGCTTTGTTCCTCTCACACAGCTTAAAGGCCGTGATCTGAACGTGGCTCTTTCACTCCAGCGCTGTCCTACCAGACAGTCTCGTCCCTTCACCTGATGAAGGCCGCTTGTGTTGTGGCCAAAACGTCGTGAGAATATTATTGTGTTATTTTATTTTATTAATTTATTATTTTATTCTCATTCTACGTGACTTTACTTTACCGAAAGAACCAAAGAAGATGAATCATTGCAGTCACGAAAGCTTTAAATCGAAATACTTCTAGATTTAAAGCTTTCGTGACTGCAAGGATCCATACTCTTTGGTTCTATAGGGTAAAGTCAAGTGACTTTACCCAATAGAACCAAAGAGTATAATAATAATACTCTTTGGTTCTTTCGGTAAAGTCACGTAGGTACAAAATAAAATAAATCACGACGTTTCGGGCGCACACACAAGCGTCCGTCATCAGGTGGGAAAGAAATTGCCGTCATCAGGTTGTGTCGCACCCGAAACGTAGTGATGTATTTTATTTCTACCTACGTGACTTTACCGAAAGAACCAAAGAGTATGGATTCCTGCAGTCACGAAAGCTTTAAATTACCTATAATAATGTTTGTATATGTTTTTCTCTCAACAGCTATGGAACTTGAACTCGCGGTAGCAGGCAGAGCTGTTTCCTCGAGAATAATGACGTGTAAAATGTAGCTAAATGTAGCGTTAAAAAAACCACGTGTATGCACACACGTTGTTAACGAGAAGCATTTTTGTTAGTATGGCCACACCAGGCCCGGCTGCCCTACGTTTTTTTTACCAATGTATTGCCGACATGAACACACACGAGGAACTCATTGTAGGCTGATTCAGCCAAAGGGAAGCCCGATACAGGGTCAGATACCAATTTTCCACTGACGTTTTTCATAGCCAAGGAATCAAACTTTGGGTGGTCAGATCGTCGGCTGTGGTCTTTCCCCCGCACCTCCGATTAGCGCGCTTGGCTACATACGGTGCGAAAGACGTTCAACATACGTACGCAATGAGCAGACAAATATGTAGCTTGGACACAATTTCTACATTTGTGCACAACTTCCATGGGAAACATGTACTGCACTTCACACGACCGAGAACCTCGATAATGGATGCTTTATTTTCTTCTGAGATTTCTACATAAAGCCAATGTCCATTTCCCCGTGCACGCACTGCATGCCTATCATGGACTGACATGGACTTGTTTGTGAATTATATATAATGACGGTCGCAAATTTACAGGAGGGGTTGGGGGGGTGGTGGTGGTTGTGGCTACGGTTGCCACCTCGGAGGTGCAAATCAACCAGGACCCATCGTACTCCAAATAATATCTCACGGTACTGGAATACCTCACAACACGAAGGCAAAAAGGAAACCTGGCAAAACCCGAGACCACGTGGCGCAAGACCGTGAAGGATGAGCTGGCAGCGGCGATTAACCTCTCAAGGGGCGAGGCTCAACAAGTTGGCAAGGACAGCAAGAAATGGAGGGAACTTACTGCGGCATTTTGTCCCAAAGGGGATGAAGAGGACTAACTAACTGGAAGAAGGGGGAACCACACCACCTGAAAATGCATTGTGCGGCGCACCGCTGTGCACCTAACAAAAAAAAAACCTCGAGGAACAGACGCTGCACGGAATTATTAAGGCGGCCCACAAGACGAACAAGAGCGTGCCATAATTAGGTACGAGAAGATTGGAGAAACAACGAAGGTTCGCAGCAATGAATAACAAGACGGGAGAAGTGCGTGGCCGAGGTGGTTGGGACACATCACAAGGGTGTGGGAAGGAGAGTTCTGCAAAATCAAGCGACGACGAGATGGAGAGACCAAGGCCAAGGAGGATGCGGCAAGCGTGGGTCTCAGGCAGGAGGATGGCCCAAGCAAGGCAACGTGGAGACTTGGGAGCGGAGCCACTGCCTCTGTGTCACTCGGCACAAAGCAAAGTACAAGAGGGAGAATGTATTGTTGCACTTAAGGGCAACTTTGCACGACGTTAACCAGGCTAATATTAATTCTCTCAAACCACTGTGTGTAATTAAACTACGTGCATGCCATGGAGACGTTATGGTGCAAGTGCGCTGATCTCCTTCATAAGTGGAAGATTAAAAGCAGCCCCTCTCTTTGTGGCTGCGAAAAGCGTTACAAACTCGTCAATTCGTGCGCCTCTCGCCTCATTCGGAGGATGTATAGAAGTCGTCCACAACCTCATCCCAGAGACCCTGTACTGTCTAAAGAACTGCCAAACAAACCCTTGGACAACTTGCTGCTCCCCTACAATGTCTGCTATTCTGCAGCAAAATCATACGGCAGAAGAATAAGTGGGATAAATGTATGAAGACGTGAATAAACTTTTTTAAAAATGAGAGCAAAAAACACCGCGGCATCATGATGGGAGACTTCAACGCAGGTATATCGAGCGGTGAACAGAGAATAAATGGTAAGTGTGGCATCAGCGAAAGAGGGAGAGATAATGAGAGAGATGATAGCTCCTATTAGAGTTTGTAACTAGTATGAAGATGATAACCACATTTTTTCAGAATTAAGGAGTTGGGAGAAAACATATATAGATAAGATTGACAGTAATTATAGAGAAGTGGGTCTTTCCAGGAATCGCACATTACGATTCAACACTACTTCAGACGTACAATTAAAGAGTACCGTATTGATTCTTTCAGACAAACTCAAGACTGTCAAGAGACATCTTTGTTCTCAGACCATTGAACACAGGCTATGGTCACAGGTGTAGCTGCACAACTCCGAGCTATCGTGCATTGTCTTTGTGCTGTTCGCTTTTTGGCATTCTCTTGTCTGACACTGGTGAGACAAGCCCATCATGAAAGCTGTCTCTGGTGTAGGCCAATCAGTTTCGAAGACAATGCCATATATTATCAGATCATGTTTGTTTGCATGTTCACCACAAGAACGTGTGGTTAATGCAGACCTGATTCCTTGCAAAAAAGTTTACGTTTGGTATTTGAACATCTTAACACCGGTTTTATTGTTTTTAATGGAGCTTTTTTTGATGCTGGAAAACTGGGGCAATGGTGGTTGCAGTGTGGTGAGTATAAATGTGCCATTTGAACCTGCAGTAAAAATGATGTTTATTTCCTAGTAGGTATGGAATTTTTGTTTATTATGATAATATATAAATTCATAGAATATTTTTCAGATGACTGCAATTTGTTTAAAATTGCGTGTTAAAACGCCATTTGTATTTTTGAACAGGCATTCCCTAAAGTATATAGCGCTCCAAATACATTTTACCACCGCATTTTGTATTTCCGATAAATACAATTCTTGGGAGTGCTTTGCCCACCTTTGCCCGCATGCGCGCACAACAGACAAACGGTGGTACAAACGCAATGTTTTGGGCAGTCGGGCAAATGTAATAATAGTGGGGAAGTGGTGGTTCTGAGGCAAGGCGGCAGGGGTTGGCGTGGGCCCTAAGTGGGCCCTCGTGCAAGGAATTAAATTGTTCTCCTGTTCACTCTTCCCCCATTTTTTGCAGCCCATCACCTGGACTCACCCTCGAGCTAACGGAACCCGTGTGCAGTTGCACCGCCTGCACCATCGACAGCTATGCTACTTGGTTTGGGGTGGCGGGGGACCAAACAGAGAATTGCCTCAACACTAAGTGAGGCATACATGCCTACACTTACATATCCAGTTCCGCCAACCACTCTTTCTGGACACACGTGTGTCCGAGCTGCGTCAGAATCTGTCAATCCCAGATCGGTCTCTTCAGCAAATCTTCGGACCCACAGATAGTCCAAACTTTTCTATGGAAGACAATCAACCTCGATTGCGAGCGGTAGCCTATGATGATGATATGCGTATGAAGGAAGAGGGGTCCTAGAGACGGCGAGAGATATCGACATGAAGAAGGACATGGAAAATCAGACACGGAGAGACACACACACACACCAAGGGACATTTCGCCTGTTCAACACAGTGCGCTGTGCCCAGATATAATTTCATTGATGCTTAATGTTTGTGCTCCCAGGACTAAGCGAAGTTCCTGAGAGAAAACGTCCATGAAACTCCACCACCTGTGCATACACACATTGCATATACTGTATACGCAACCACATTCAGACGCACATTCCATATATACACAACCACATTCAGACACACATTGCATATACTGTATACGCAACCACATTCAGGTGCACATTGCATATATACACAACCACATTCAGACACACATTGCATATATATACAACCACATTCAAACGCACATTGCATATATACACAACCGCACTGAGTGACGGTGACGTCAACATTGCACTCGTGCCAGGCTAGGTGCATCTTGAGGCCACGCGAAGTGCCAAAGGCTGGCTGACAGGAGGTTCACGGGACAGACCCAGGTGTCGTGGGTTAACTGACTGAGATGCCTGGCAGATGCACAACATGAACTCCCCGCTGAGTATGTATGTAAATTTAACTTATTTCGCACCGTACGTAACCAACCGTGCTAATCGGAGGTATGCATACATACACACAAATGGTTACACAATCCCATGCATACACTCACGCATAACTGTGCTACTTCATACAGGGCCTAATAAAATGCGTATAAAACACAACATGCGTTTGTGGTATGTGTGCACTGAATGTTATTTCCTTATACCAGGAGCTAAACTCACTGCTAACACTACAATATTTCAGGCAGGCTACAATATTTAAAATGTATAATATATTTATTTGAAAAATGGGATTGGGAGAATAATTCTAGATTTAAAGCTTTCGTGACTGCAAGGATCCATACTCTTTGGTTCTATTCGGTAAAGTCACGTAGGTAAAAAATAAAACAACAAAAATCACGACGTTTCGGCCACAACACAAGCGGCCTTCATCAGGTGAAGGGATCAGGCTGTCTCGAGGACAGCGCTGGAGTGAAACACAGCCACGCTCAGACCGCGACCTTTAAGCTGTGTGCGAGGAAACAAGGTGCCTTGACAAAGGAATTAGCATAAAATTTTTATCTGAAATTTTATCAGAGATTTGTTCACGAGGCAATTCAGATCTACAAGCACAGACACAATTTCAACCGAGAAGATGGTTTCAAATTAGGCAACCATTGGAAAGATGTTCTAAATCGAACCAAACATTAAACTAATTTTCAATGGTACAGTATATTTTTCAAGTAGTGGTACCCAAACTTTCGCAGCTCTTAAATTCCCTTTTCACACCATCAATAAGTAAACTCCCCCCCCCCGCGCCAACCGGCATGTGCACCCGCATGTACACCACCTCTATGCTAAGTCGGCCAATCAAATGCTATTTTTTATGCTAATTCCTTTGTCAAGGCACCTTGTTTCCTCGCACACAGCTTAAAGGTCGCGGTCTGAGCGTGGCTGTGTTCCACTCCAGCGCTGTCCTCGAGACAGCCTGATCCCTTCACCTGATGAAGGCCGCTTGTGTTGTGGCCGAAACGTCGTGATTTTTGTTGTTTTATTTTTTACCTACGTGACATTACCGAATAGAACCAAAGAGTATTGGGAGAATAACCTTGTTTTTCAGTTAACTTTTTCAGTATGTTTTTTGAAATATTAAGGAATCATTTAAGATCCAAACACTCGGAGTTTTAGTCATTAAAAACATTCATTCAACTTCACCGTTAACCCGAAAAACTTTTTTGGCCACGCTTTCCAAGCATTGCCCTTCGATGCAGCGGAAACCACTCGGTGTTTCAGACGAGGTAACAACAACAACAAGAGGATCACCGGAGCACGTGAAAGCCATTGCAGACCAAATCACACGCGCATCATGTGCGCTCCAAGGCCATGCTGCAACATTTCCTCTCAAGACAGTAGTGAATGGAATACAAAAAAAGAAACCCTACAATTCCGGCTATTCAAGTCGTTTATAGTCGCTGCGAGTGGTGACATGTTAACTCCCTGAGGCACGGTGCAGCCTTGGCCCTCATTAAATAAATGGGGGCTGGGGGGGCTGAAGGGGATTTGTTGGGGCCAACGGTTGCAGTGTGTGGGTTTGGGGGGGGGGGTGCTCACCATGCCCCCCTCCGCCCCGTTCTGTTGAAAGTTGAAAACGTCGGGGAAATCCTATGGGTGGCGGTGTTGACAACAGCTGACACGAGCCTTTTTTTGGGGGGGGGAGTGGTGGTGGAGGTTTCCTGGAATTTGCGTTGGAAGGCCAAAACCGAGGCACGTGCAAACAATTAACCTGCCTCACGGGCTGCCTTTGCGCTCCCTATTCTTGGCGTCAACCCAAGGCATTGTGGGAATTTATTTGGGCAGATTTGTTTTTATTTGCGGTGGAGATTTGTTGTTTTTTTTGTGTTACTTATTTTTTTTATTTTTGTTACTTTTATTTGTACTTCCCAAAAAAGGGGTACAGGGACGCGCGGGATCAGGGTAAGCGGCGGGCAAAGTCACTGGTACACAGGGCAAAGTCACCGGTACACATGGTAAAGTCACCGGTACACAGGGTAAAGTCACCGGTACATAGGGCAAAGTCACCGGTACACAGGGCAAAAGTCACCGGTACACAGGGTAAAGTCACCGGTACACAGGGCAAAGTCACCGGTACACAGGGTAAAGTCACCGGTACACAGGGTAAAGTCACCGGTACACAGGGTAAAGTCACCGCTACACAGGGTAAAGTCACCGGTACACAGGGCAAAGTCACCGGTACACAGGGTAAAGTCACCGGTACACAGGGCAAAGTCACCGGTACACAGGGTAAAGTCACCGGTACACAGGGCAAAGTCACCGGTACACGAATACACGTGGCAATAGGAGAGAACCCCCAAGGCAACAGGAGTAGGAGCAAGATTGAATAGAGAGAGATAGAGAAGATAAATTAATGGAGAAGAGAAGTGGATTTGCTGCGACTGCGCCTTGGTTGTGGAATTACCTACCGTTTGAAATTCGTTTAACCGACAATGTGGCTACTTTTAAGTCTAGGCTAAAAAAAACAAATATTCTGAATTTCGTTTATTTTATAAAAACCTATTCTTCTCTCTTGGCCTTTCCTTAACATTAATCTTACAAGGCGCCTTGAGACATTAGTGGAAGGCGTCTTACAAATGAACGTAAATTATTGTTATTAAAGGAGCGGAATGTACAGTCACATCAGGAACAGGTCGATGAAAGGAGACCAAATCGTCCTCTTATCAATTAGCGATCCCTGCGACAGAGTCCCAAGATGTTCAAGAGTGGATGTCTCACGCGCCAGATTCAGCCGGTGCTCAAGAGTCCTTATTGTATTGAACATTCGGCATCACGCGGTGTGCCGTTGTGGCTTCGATTACAAACGCTCGTCACATCTGTTGGCCGACGGAAACAAAAAACCCGAGAACTAAAAATATCGTAAAATATTGCCGCATTTTTATTTCATAATTAACAGCTTACTTAGAATGATTACATTATGTATTTGGAGCGTTTAATTTAAAAAAAAAAGTTGGACGTTTTTCTGCACGTTTTAGCCAAAAATAACATTGGCTTCCTTTGTAGGTTATTTGTGGGTGGGTGCAACGTTGTGTGTATTAAATGTACGTTTGGTCTGTGCATATGGATATGCTGCATATGTTAACGTGCTGTGTGTGGCATGCAATGGGCTTGAACAAACCACTGCCGTTGGTCACTGGGGTTGTTTGACCATACTTCACCACCATGGTGAGTGTGTGGTTCGGTGAAAAGGGTCAAGAAAAGGATTCAAATTTCACTCGCCACCGATATCACTTGTCGCCAGGAATCCAACTCAGGTGGGTCGTTGAAAGTTTCCCAACACACACTTGACCACGTTCAATCATGGTCCCATGAGTTCTCGTCTGGATAAACAAATCGACTTGATTCGCCTTGACTTAAATCTAAAGGTTCTACAGCAACCCACCGAAGATCCTAAGAGAGATGAGAATAACATTCCAAGCTATTCTGCACTCATAGCTTGTTTTCATAGCACTTATAAACGTATGTCTTACATGTTTTCTTTAATCCTGGCAACTTAAATCAGTCTTCCTTATTATAGCATAAGTATATTTTTTTTTGCTGCATATATGAATGCAAATTCACACTTTCAAGTACAAAAATGAAAAGAATGGAAACACTTTTTTTTGGCAAATAAGGTGGAGACAATGTATTTTCTCATGCGTGTGTTGCGTTATTGTTTTGTTTTGTCTTCCCTCTACGCTTGACAAAGAATACTCCAGTTTGCATTACATTTTAAGAGGGGTTAACCAACACCGGGAGGCCGCGACCGACTGGACAGCAACAACTAAACACAGGAAGCATGGGGGGGGGGCATTTGCCCAGCAGCAGGAAGTTACAAGTTGACAACAACGATAGCAACAACAACAACAAGATTGACAATCCAAATCCTGCAACAGTCCAACTTTAGTTCTCTCACTTAAAACAAACATTCACTGGCTCATTGCTGGAGCACACACGTCTTATTCGCAGGGATGAGATATAAGATGTCCAAAAGAACACACGAGACAATCTTTAAATACCATCAGCCAGTGGGTTTTGTTTCTATTGTCAATGTGTAGTAGTAGTAGTCGTAGTCGAGAAGTAGTATGTGAATGTCCCCAAAAGAACATTATTAATCGCCACCTATGCCACTGTCCCAGAAACACACAGTGGGAGACTTCTACTGACAAGCGGCGGCTGACGAAGTTCGGACACGATCACTCGTGTAGAACAGCGGTATACCTGAACGTCATCCAACACGTGTCGCACGCTCACTCTTCCAGATAGAGAGAGATGAGATGCCCCGGACTTCCAAGTGTCCAGCTGGGAACAACGTCCCGTGCCTTGTCCGCCCCCCCCCCTTCCCTCGGCCATTAACGTTCAAACCGGCGGTTGTTTTGCCGTCAAACTTTTGCAAGAGGGCCCTTAAACAAGCGACTGAGCCCCCCCCCCTTCCTCCTCCCCCCCCCCGAGGCGTCTCACCTTTCAAAAACAAACTCTCTCCGCCTCAAGCTGGCGAGCCTCATACCCCCACCGCCGTTATGAAACCTCCAGGCGCACCCTTGCCACAAGAAATATCTGATGGGGTTTTTTTTTTTATCTATTTCACCCACAGCAGCCTATCTGCGTACGCCAAACAAGCGCCGCGCCTCCGGATTAGCACGGTTGGTTACGTACGGTGCGAAAGAAGTCCAATGTACACGCGTACAAGTCCACGACAATGCACAATTTGCTTCTGTTTGAGACAAATACATTTTTTGCTACTCACCCCACGAATGTGAATTTCGATGGACGTGTGCACACACTTACATATTCATTTATTTAGCAGGGGGAAATATTTTCCCGTGACCCATAACTGTGAGCATTTTGACGATTACAGTCACAACAAATTGTGGTTGGATGCGTAATTGCCAAGTGTTTTAAGGAAGTCGGGAGAATGGAGTCTTTAAGATTTGCCTTTTGTTCTGTTCTGATCACACCGCCACTCATCTTCATGCATACTTATTTGCGTAATCAAAATAAGACGCAACGATTTCTGCATCTCATTTACACTCACGTCATCCTCGTGTTGTTTGTTGGTGTTTTTTGTAATACATATACATGATCATCTTTGTTTTCACAAAGCAACTCATTTTGCCATTCGTATCAAA